ATCAGATATGATCAAAAAGATTCTTTCTGCCAATAATTTTATTAACAGCTGCAATAATTTCATTTATATCTATTATAATAAACTACAAATTTAATGTTTCGTGTTTCATATTGATTATTTTATTGTCAAGAGACATGAATCAAGAAAAAATAGATTTTAGAAAATAATAATTAATAATAACAACAACAATATTTATGACATTATACGATAATAAATTTTAAAAAAATAGTGGTTGAGTATTATGATGAACAAAAAGAAGTAAAATTATTATTTTGTATATATCAAAAAATAAATAAAGATTTATTAGTATAAACGATTTATTTTTTTTCGAAACGACAGATTCATTAACTAACACACATATTTACAACCGGCTAACTAGCCGCAATAGGATGACTATCCAAGGCAGCCCAGATACTACAATGCACACTACAACACGAAAAAGAAAAATAAAGAGCTCCAACAAGAGAATTACACAAGCTCTTAGCAGGAGAATAACACGCTCTTCCAAAAGAGGAGAAAACAAAACACATATCACATCAACAAAAAAACACCCAAAGACTAAAAAAAATACCAAAACATACAAAACACTAAATCATCAGTAACAAACACCTTTCCCGCAATCGGAGGTCTAACCAATCGAACCAGTAGCGACAACAAATGACATCCATCCATTGGACGAGGTCGGACCTTCAGAATCGGACCCAGAAACTACCCGCCCGACACCAACGGATACAACTCCAAACCAAACGGACATCCCCCCACACCCGACACCAAGAACCTGCAATCGACGACAGAATACCGGCCACGATCCACGATGTCGACAAGCCTCTCCGCCTAACATCAAAACCGGAGACGACCACAGCTGAAAGGAGCAAGTCCACCGCTCCAAAAGCCCAAATCGGAGAAATTGAAGTCGCATCTCACTTCTGAAGGACCGCCGGAGGATCGCCAAAGCGAAGATTCCCAGAAATCGCCCGTCCGCCTCACCATCCAAGCGCCAAATTCACGGAAAAAACCGAGACAGGGACGGATCGCACCATCTCCCGGGCGAAGAAGCCCACCTCCCAGCGGTGGTTCTCAGAAGAACGGACGCGAGGCCTAGGGGCGTCACCACCGGACGATAGGAGAGACTCGACGGGGAAGGCGACCGGATCTATCGACGGAAACTTTTGATCTGGAAGAAAGAAAGCTCGCTAAAAAAGTGTTTGGAGAGAGATATTGATTTAGTTGTCTCTAGTATAAACGATTAGCAAGCTAATATATTGTTAAAATAAAATTTTAAAAAACAAGCTCATCGTGAATCGCACGGATATACACTAGTTGAAAAAAAAATGAAGTATAAAGAAAAGCATTATGGTAACTATGGAAGAAAAATATAGAATGAAATAAATATTGATTGTTTCAATAAAGTAAAATATTTAATATATTATGGAATTAATCAAGCTTAATTGACATTTTACATGACACTCGAGCTTAGTTATGTATCAATCCAAGGCATAAAATTATGGTAAATAGTATCTCAAAGCATGCGAGCCTATCAATTAAGTTCTTCACATTTAGAAATAATACATAGGGGATTTATTGAATTGAACTTAACAACCAATTATATGCCTAAATATATTTTACAATTATAGAAACAATATTTCCATAAAATTCTATATGATTTCTTTAAATTATTCATAAGACTAATAAAAGGTGTAGA